CGGCCTCGCGGGGAACCGCGCTGCCGGGCAGAACCGGCACCCACTCACCTGCCGCGCGGGAGGCGGGCGCCCGCGCGCCGGGCGGAAGTGCCCCTCCTGCGGCCCGCCCAGCCCCGCGCGCTTCCGGGACGCTCTGGGCGCCGGAGCGCGGCGCCTCGGTGGCCCTGCGACCCTCCGCGTCTCACTGGCGTGCGGGAACCGCGCACTTCGGGTCCCGGCTCCTGTTTGGGGGAGCGGAATTGGCTCGGGCGGGGTCTCGTTCTCCGGCGACCGCTCTGGTCTGCAGCAGGCCAGAGACGCTCCCGAATCTACCAGGGTCCGCCGATTTCTGGCGCACAGCAAGCTTGAGACAAACCAGGAGCTTCAGATGGATCGGGTTCGAGTGCGGGGGAGTTGAGGCGTAGATTACGTCCTTTGTCCTCTGCTGAGTCACACGGAGGCTGGGGCATTGGTCAGCCCTTTCTCTGGGGGCTGCCCTTTAATGCCCCGCAATGCCTGCGCAGGCTTCAGGTGGACATTAGGCTAGCTTTGGGGTTGGCAAATAGAAGTGAACACAGCAAAAGTGTCTGGGCTGGCCAGGAGCCCAGGAGGGACCTCGGCTCAGGATGCTGCTGGTTTGCTGTGTATCCATCAAAGGAGAGCCGTGGAGGTGGAAGGTGGGTTCAGTTCTTCTCTGCTGTTAGGGCTGAGGCTGCCCCTGGACTGAGTGGACCATAAACGTAAGGACTATGTCCAGTAGTGAGGAAAATCTCTGCAGACACTAAATAATTACCAGGCCTTAACGCAGAGGTTTCCTCAGCAGGGCAGTGGGTTTCCAGAACCTACTAGGAGGTCCTAAGACTCTGATAGGGGCTCCTGAACACACCTGGCCTTGGCTTTCAGGATGGAGGCTGTGCCCGGGAGACCTTGTGTCCCCAAAACTCTAGCATTACTGCTGAGTGCGGCACCGGAAGGGCAGGGTGCAGCTACTTAGCAGGATTTGGGGCTGAGGCAGGAGCGGGAAGAAGCCAAATCAGGTAAAGTTTTGTATATGTGCTGCGGAACCTCACACAAATCAGCGGTCAGCATAGTACATATTTTGTATTTAATGGAGCCGAGAAACATTTTATGCAGGACTCAGGATTTTTCTTGGATATTCAGTGACTACAAAGTTTTTCTACACCAGAAGCTTGAAAATCCGTGGCCCTGAATCCCATTCAGCTCATAACCCAGTTTTGGTTGGATTATGTTTTTTGTTGGTTTTGAGACAGGGTCCACTATGTAGCCCAGGCTGGCTTGAATTTGTGTTACCCTCCTGCTTCAGCTTCCCAAGTGCTGGGATTACAGGTGTGTAAAAAATTCTAAAATTATACAAAGGGTATGTACAGAAGGAACTCATCTGTAATTTTTTTTTTCATCTGTAATTTATAAAAACTCTCTTGCCAGGTGTGGTTACACAGGCCTGTAATTCCAGTATTTGGGAGGCTGAGGCAGGAGTACTGTCAAGAGCAGGAGGCCAGCCTGGGCTACACAGTGAGTTCAAGGCCAGCCTGCACTACAAAACAAGACTGTTTTAAAAAACAAAACAAAACAAAACAAACAAAAAACCCACAAAAAAACCAAACA